GTGTCGCGGGGGGCGCGGGAGGGAGGTGCACGCCCCTCTCGCCCCCACTGGACCGAGCGGTTGGAGCCGGGGAAAGCGGTGAGCGGCCAAGGGGACCCGGCGTCCGAGCAGGGGGATGGAGGAGGAGGAGGCGGCGGCGGCGGCGGATGTCATCGGGCTTGGGGCGGAGCAGGTGATGGAGAAGGGGGAGCATGACCCCGGAGAGTGAAAATCCCTACGGAAGGAACGTTGGATCCGACGGCCACCCCGGAACTGGCTTCTTGTACTGGCTCCTAGGCTGGAGGTGTTCAAAGGCTGTAGAGAGGCGGGCCGGGGCAAAGGTGGGCCGCTGGGCTGAGAGGAAGCTGTGGTGAGAACAGGTGATAAGAGGCAGAACTTCCAAGTTTTGAGAGAGGAGCAGCCGCTGATCCTGTGGTGCTGCTGCTTACCTGCGGGATGGGGGAAGTTAGGAAGGGTTGGTAAGGTGGACAGAGGCCCCAGAGCGAGGGAAGGAAAACCGCAGAGGGGTGGAACCTTGGGTCCCCTGGAAGGGATCACTGGTGAAGGGTTTGGAAGGGGAGCCTGTTTTGGATAACCACATTCTGGAGAGGATGTCGTTGGTGGCTGCAGGGGATAGACGGGGTTTTTGTGAGGATTGATACTCTGTTCTTAAAGAGTTTGAAGTGTGCTGGTGTCCTGGGCCGGTTGCCAAGAGGGAGGATCTGCGAGTTCTGGGACTTTGAAAGTTATTAAGTAGCTCCTGAAGTACCGAGGAGCACTCTTGTTTATGGGGTGACAACGTGCATATTCTGATAAAACAGTGCCAACGTTTGGCGAAAGGGAAGGAATGGCCCCTCTTCCACAGGCAAAGGAGGAATATTTGCAGGAGACATTGAAGGATGGGTGACGATGTCTGTGGACAGTGGAAATCGTATAATGAGGAGGAACTAAATGGTTGATTGGGGGTGTAGGGATGGAACATCTGGTTGCAAAGTAGAGAGATTATTTGAAGTTGATTTACTCTGAAGCAATTGTACAGACAGAAGAGTAGACTTGACCGACTTAGAAAACAGCCTAGTAGCCCATGGTATCTGGAGATGGCGTCAAGTCTGGTTCGCCCACTAACTTGCTTTCACATTGAACAGGGTAGTGAGTTCTTCATAAAACAGGGGATGCTGGGCGTGGTGGTGCACGCCTGTAATCCCAGCACTCCTCGAGGCTGAGGCAGGAGGATTGCTGTGAGTTCGAGGCCAGCCTGGGCCACGTAGTGAGTTCCATGTCAGTCTCAACTACATAGTGAGACCCTGTCTCAAAAAACAAAAACAAACAAACCAAAACAGGGGAGTTACCTTTTTCACAGGCTTCAGGGAGGCATAGTCTCAAACATAGTGAGACCCTGTCTCAAAAAACAAAAACAAACAAACCAAAACAGGGGAGTTACCTTTTTCACAGGCTTCAGGGAGGCATTATGTACTTTCACCAAGCACTTGACAAACTGGGAAGTGCTGTAATTATTTAATTATAATTATCCTAAGGAAACAGCAAGGAAATGGGTAATTTGAAAGTAGAGAGTGGTTTGAAGTAGAAAACTTTATTTTTATTTGTTTTGTTTTGCTTGAGATAGGGTCTCACTATGTAGTTTCAGGCTGGCCTTGAACTGACAATCCTTCCAAGTGCTGGAATTACAGGCATGTGCCAGTGTACCTGGCTAGGTAGAATGCTTTAATCCGATGGGTGATTCGCACTGTTTGGGATTATGGTAAGTCAAGAACTCATTGTGTTTTCACTCAGGGAAGAATCGCTGGTGATTGAAAATAATTCAGAAGGGAACTTTAGTGATGTGTACATAATCCCAAACAACCTGAGAGATGGAAAGGGAAGTAATTATCAATCTTGGTGAGCAGTTCCTATGGCACATGTGTTCTATTTATTTTTGTTTGTTTGCTTGAGACAGGGTCTTGCTGTGTAGTTCAGGCTGGCCTCAAACGACAAGATACCCCTGCCTCAGCCTCCCAGGTGCTGGGTTTACAGATGTGCGCCACCATGCAGGACATACGTTTTAAAAAGACAAAGTACATGATAGTTTTGAGTAGCTTTGAACTGTATCTCACTGTAAGGTGGTATGGAATACAGGATTACTATTGGAGTTCTGGTGGATAAAATAAGAAAGAAAGGTAAATGTGGTCTAATCATGCCTTGTGGTAACTCATCTATTGCTTCTCTTACTCTGACCCAGCTTCAAGTCCTCATGGGTGTCTTGCCCTTTCTTACTGTACTGTACAGAGTGGTTGAAAAAACAGAAAACACAGTGGGCAAGAAGTAGGAGCAAGTAAAACATTTTACTGGGTAGATTGGCTGCATGTACCTTTGTGTGATGTTGGCCTGCTCTACTGATTTTTTTGGCCTTCCTTTCTTTCTTTCTTCCTTCCTTCCTTTCTTCCTTTCTTTCCTTTCTTTCCTTTCTTTTTTGTACCAGGGATCGAACTTAGCACCTTGCACTTGCAAGGCAGGCAGCAGAGCCACTGAGCTAAATCCCCGGCCCAGGTTTTTTGAGACAGGGTCTTGCTGTGTAGTTGAGGCTGGCCTCAGACTTGGGGTGATCCTTCTGCCTTAGCCTCCCAACTACTGGGATTGCAGGCATGTGCCACCACGCATGGCTCTGCTCTACTAATTTTTAAAGGGGGAATAACTTTGTGAAGCTTGATAGAATTTACAAGTTTTATTCTACCAAAATATTGTACTTCCTTCAATCTCAGTTTTATTTGTTTTACAGTCAGGAAGCTCCTGAAAATAGACTAGGGATTTAGCTCAGTGGTTTTGCCACGTGCCTCACAAGCGCAGGGTCCCAAATGAGATCCCTGGTAACCCCCCCCCCAAAAAAAAAGATTGCTTAGCCCTTCACCTCTAGCATGTTTTGAGATGGTGAAAGTTTTTATATCATTTTGAGAGAGGGTGGTGTATTGGAGGTAAGGATTAGGAAACCAGGCAGCTTCCTAGCTCTTCCTGAGTCAACCAGGTAGTGAGTGATATACGGAACTATATATATATATATATATATGGCATTTGATATGCACTCATTTAATCCTCATAAGTCCCTGAGACAAGGCATATTTCTGTTTTATAGAGGAAGAGACATCATATAATAAGATGTGTAAACTATAAAACAAGATTGACCAGGAGGTGATAATTACTGAAATTCAGTAATAAGTGTGTCAGAGAGTCATTATTTCATTCTGTTTACTTTTACATGTTTAAATTTTTCACAGTAAAAAGTTTTATGAAAAGAAAACTTCTGCCTCTAAGTTCATGCTGTTCTATCACATTGGAAAGTAATTTTCTTTTTCTTTTTCTTTTTTTGGTACTGGGGATCGAACTCAGGACCTTGCACTTGACAGGCAGGAGCAGTGCCACTTGAGCTAAATCAAATCATCGGCCCTTCTTTTTCTTTTTGAGGTAGACTCACTATAGCCCACTCAAGTCTTTAATTCACCTCAATTTTGTGATGCTCCTGCCTCATCCTTCCAGAGTGCTGGTATTACAGGTATGCATGTATGTATGTATGTATTTATTTGATTCTGGGGCTCGAACTCAGGTCCTTGCACTTGCAAGGCAGGTGGCGACACCAGTGAGCTAAATCCGCAGCCCCAAAAGATAACTGTTTGCACGATGCCCTCCTTTTCTTGTGTACTGAGTCTCCTCACTAAACTCCTTGAAAACTCTGAACTTTGTCCTCTTTTAGTGCCTAGCATGTTTCACACATAGCTCTTGCTTAGTACACAGTGATTAATATGATAGTTAATCTTTAGGGCTGTTCATCCTTTGTTGAAAGAGTATTAAGGGGAAGCTTCAGAAGGTTGTGTTTATAATCCATATATTTATAAAAGAGAACTTTTGATAATTTGGTTTCCTGTTGTGCCAATGCTGTAAAAATATGGAACGCCATCTCTTAGTAAAGTTTTAAACAAGACCTATTGACAGAAGAAGTGAAAATAATTAGTAGTAACACCAGGATCTTTATCATGACTTAACCATAAGATCCTGCTCTACTCATAAACTGAGGAAGTAAAAGAATGAAAACACAAAATGAAGGTGCGAACTAGATTTACCAATTTGAGGCTAGCACTTTTGTTATAATGTGAATTTTGTAAGAAACAGGAAGTTGTCTCCCTTCCCTTGCCCTTTCTTTTCCCAGTAGCATTTTGCTAAGTTGCCCAGGTGGTACTTGTGATCCTCTTACCTCAGCTTCCCAGAGTGCTGGTATCTGTGGCAGGCTTACACCTTCATA